TAGCACGCCAACTCCTGACAATGGGTTATAGACAGCGCATTAACACCTGACAATGCCTTGTAACAGCAAGCTAACTCCTGACAATGGCTTATATATAGTACTTTACTTTGTGAAAATAGCTTCTTTAGACAGCACGTTAACTCCTGATAATAGCTTACAAAGAAGACTTTAATTCTTGATAATGGCTTCTTGATAGAAGGAACTTAAACTCCTGATAGTTTCTTACAGGAAGAAAAAAAAGGCGGTATTTATAAACAACACATTCTCCAATAACAATTATAAGAATAAAAATCCAATTAACATCTCCAGTGCAGAGCTTAGCCGATACTCTGAACCAGAAAACAGAATTTAAATTTATCTGATTTATGAGTTTATAGACGTCCGCTTACATCTCCATCACAGAGCTTAGCCGACACTCTGAACCTGAAAAAAGAATGTAAATTGTTGTATTCAGACGAAGACGTGTGTGTGCAGCTTGATTTGTTTCATGTGCATTTTGAAATTTTACAGCTGCCCAATCGGACATAGCTGTCAATAGGACAGGTGAAGTAGAGTCACTCTGTCTCCGTGACATCGGGGTGTTATTGATATCAGTTTTATGCTCAGTGGTTTTACTTTCCCTAACGAGATTTAGGTACCCATTAGAGCTGTGTAGACTCAAAGGCGTTGTATAGAATCGAGCTCGATCCGAACTTGAGATTTTCGGGTTTGCGGTCGTGCTCTCTACCGCTTGACCACGTCGTTCCAACTAAAATTATAAAATAACTCTTTTTCTTTACACTGTAAAAAACCTCATGCAAAACATTTTTATTGAACTGAAGTTGACAGAGCTACATGTTCTATACTCTTTAACCCGATAACTCTCACAAATAATGCATGAACTGTTTTTAAAACTCGACAAACAAACAACACTGAGCGCCGCTCTACTGGGAGTCAAACCCAACCTTTTTAGGTATTGTACGGGATTGGCGCGAATGAAATGGTCCGTGGGTGGGGGAGGGGGTGTAATATACGAGACACAAATCAGGGACAACCCGGGGGGATAGCGTGTGAGTGCAGTGTACAGCGAAATGTCGGGTCATCGTCTTAGTGGGAGTGACGGAGTTCTTCTTTTTTTAAAGCTACTTGAAGGGACATTTCAGATGTCGTTAGCTGTTAAAAGGATTTAAGTTTTTGTCTTGAGAGTCAGGGGAGTCAGGGGGAGTCAGGGGACGCTGATACAGTAGGGGATTTGTGTTCTCGGTGATGCTGTGGTGCGACCGTTGAAGTGTTGATGTTGTAGGTTCCATCATCAGGCTTTTGGCGTTGTTACTTTTTTTTAGAAGTGTTCACACTCCCAAATAAAACACGCCCATATAATCTTACATTTTCAGCATATTCTACACGTTTAGTAGTGTAGTGAAAACTTCAATAGAACGTAATGAAGCTTTAGCGTTTCTTTTTGCACTAAATAATAAAATAAGCTATCGATGGCTCTATTTCTTTGATGCATCTCTTCGGGAGGGGTTGGGCATAGACACCTCCTCTGAAACACGTCTAGCGCCCTCTACTCCCCTTCCCCTCGAATGAATTAGAATTTATATAGAAATACATGCTTTTAACAGTGCTCACTCCCCAGGAGAGAAAAGTCTGAAAGAAACACAAATCGTTGGTCGAAGTTACAGAACTGGGGGTTCTTAACCTAACCATAATTCTAACCATACCCCAGACCCTTCCTACTAAACAAGATATGCTTGTTATTTGTTGTTTGTTAATCTTTTTTTCTTCGTAAATTAAACAACCCTCTGCCACATTTAAATATTTCCAACATTAAAGACTAAATAAACGCTAAATATATCCGTGAAATACAAATAGCCGTCACTAAACTCAGCTCCACGAATGTAAACATTTAACGTGAACCAAAGCTCACCAGACAATGTAGGGGTGGGGGTGGTAGGGAGCGCGCTTACAGCTTGTTTTCTAGCGTCTCCCTGAAGAGAATTATATATATAGATAATTAGAGACGAATGTTCGCATCCACCCGTCATAACGATAGCTCTCAGTATTTAAAACATATTATCTTACACGTGTTGTTGATTCACCGACATAAACATGACGGTAAGACTACAGGCGTAGCCCCATTCAGTTCGATCGACGTTTTACTTTGTCCAATAATACAGACAGTTTCAAATACACATCTTCATTTGACACTACACAAATTTCCAACCATCTCAAGTTCTGCTAGCTGTTCTCACATTTCAAATACCCAGAGGGCGGTTCTCAAAATGCCATACATCTAAAGTTCTGTTGTTCTCAAAGTTTCAAATAACTTGTATCCAGCGTAGGAGGTTCTCACATGTCAAATCAAATTCTTCATCATCAGCAGTACTCGTATACAGGAAAGGATTTCCAAAGTTTCAACTATCCTTTAACTTGATTCGTGAACAGTGTTCACTTCCTAAGTGTTTGTTTGCAACGTTCTCATCTTGCTGTGTTTCATGTTGTTATCCATATACTTCGATAAGGGGACACGTTTATGTTTGTGTTGGGTAAAAATGTAGTCCAGTGATTCTTTCAGACTTTTTTTTCTCCGCGGGGGGGGGGGGGGGGGGGGACGGGGACTTGAAGCATTTTTGTGGGGGGCGGAGGGGTGCGGATACTTGTAAAAGTATATATTTTCTATATAATTGTTTTTTACGTTCATGAAGGGAGGACGGGGGGGGGGGGGGGGGGGGATTAGGTTAAGATATGACTGAAAAAAATCACTGCTGTGGTCTGATAACTGTTGGGTATATTATAGCAACTGACAACATACACCACAGTAAATTCGCTGGATAACAATGCTCAGCAATAATAATAACTTTAATATATATATATATATATATATATAAGAATAAATAATATGAAAATAATAACATATACTATATGCTTTAACACAGATGATGATACTTAACACGACCCTAGTCATAGCCACGTCTTGCCACAGCCACTTCCACATCCACACTACAACTAACTGCTTCACACACTAGCACACGCTCTGACACCCGTCACCTGACACACCTCACGTGAACACCTCTCGCTCCATGTAAACACACTCAACCAAGGGATACAACTATACACCAAAGGGAGGGTACCTGTCGTTCAAGCACACAACACACACACACAAGCAGGGACATGTAAGGGACGTAACAATAACTAGAAATCGTATACGGGAAAAAAATCAGCTGTTAATGTTTCTTTAATATATCGGTTCAAATTCACGGTGTTATATAATACTTAAATCAATGCAATTTTTTTCTGTCCAATATGTTGCTGCTTGGTGTTTAATCACCTCAGATATGTAATTTACGTCGTCAGTTTACCTTGTTATGTTTGCTTTAGTATTACAGTTTTCATCGTTGGCTTCTAAGGACTGATACAGATTTACAATAGTAGTGCCTCTTTCTGAAATGTACTATCATTTTGTTTACGACAGTTGACTTTACATAATATAAACGTCTAATTTCAATTTTATTTTTAAACCTAGAAATGCATGTTTGTAATGTGCTAACTGCCGTTTAAAAAAACGCATATGATATGTGCATTAAATAAGGAGCAATATGGTGATTGAGAAAGAAAGCAATATAATTATGTACACATATATATATATATATATATATATATATATATATATATATATATATATATATATATATATATATATATATATATACAGTTACAATGATTACAGCTCTGCTCTAATAGTGCACTGATTAACGTTTCCTCAATAATGCAAGCGAAAAGAGAAGAGCTAATGAAGAAAATCACACCCCCAAAAAATAACGGCCAATCCAAGGGAGAAAACCCTTCTTATATCTACACACAAACGCTCAGCTGCCGTTTAGAGTACATCTGTTTCATTTTAAACATATCGAATAAGATTATTGATCCCATCACACGAGAGAAGCCAAGCACAGCTTCTTTTTTTCTTCTTATAATTTTTTTGCATCACAAAAAAACGAAATGATTTCAACACTTCTCACATCTACGTGTGTCAAAGTGTTCATTTATTTTCCCGGTCAACTTTTTTATCAATCGCCCAGTTTTTTAAATTTTTTTACACTCATGCACAAAACACGATTGCATTAGCACGCGTTGAATCTGGTTTATTCCCCCCGATCGTATACCCCCGTCTCATAGCGTGCATGCGATCATATATCTATTTAACTAAACATAAGCCTCATCTCCTCGTTTGTTCGGACGCGGGCGTCTGTTCGGATGCGGACGTCTTGTAAATAATGAAAATGTCTAGACGTCTTCTGAAAGGAATATTTATTGTGTGCAGTTGGTGGTTGGCTGAGGGGGGAATATATTCACAATTCATCAGAGCTTCCGTCTGATGTTTATTTCTTTTTCTGTCTGTCTGTCTATCTGTCTCTCTCTCCCTCCCTCTCTCTCTCTCTCTCTCTCTTTATATATATATATATATATATATATATATATATATATGTGTGTGTGTGTGTGTGTGTGTGTGTGTGTGTGTGTGTTGAGTGAGAGAGTGTGTAAATGTAACTTGTGAATGTGCTAATCAAATTTTACATAGGTATTATATGACAGTCTCGATTGTCCTTCTAAAGAACTGAATAGCATTGCCAAAACAATTTTGTTTTGAATACCGAAAATAGTAAAGTTATCTTTTCGAAACTGACGGTGCATGTGGAAAGTGAAGTAGAGTTCACCTGTTTCTGTGAGCTGGGCATATGAAGTGTAGGCAGCACTATGCCAAGCCGTCTTTACCTTCCCTAACCAGCTGATTGGATTCATGACATTTTACTGACTTGAACCCGGATTCGGACTCGAGATTTTAGTGCTAGCAGTCGTGCGTGCGCTCTACAATCCGATCACGGCATCACTAGCCAGACTTAAACTATGTATCTATTTATAGTAGAAATATAATAAATAACATTTCACCCATTAAGGTAATACTATTTTTTTTTAAAAGATAAACATCAACTTAAATATTTACTAACGTGTCTCCCCAGCTGGTAATGTGAGAATCTCTGAACAGCTGCGGAATGTGGTGGTGGAGGAGGGAGAGCGCGCCAAGTTCGTCTGCAAGGTCGACGTTCATCACCTGGACGAGGAACGGCTCGCGGTCACGTGGAAGGTCAACGGTCAGTATCTGAGTCCGGAAGATTCCGGTCGACTCATCCACAAGGAGGAAGGCTCAAGGTTTGCGCTCATCATCAAGAAAACCAAGTTGAGTGACACGGGGGTGTACTCGTGTATTGCGTCAGTCGGTCTTGATACGGACATGTCCAGTGCTCACCTTCAAATCAAAAGTAAGTCGAGAGATGCATCATTTGTGTTGTTATGTCATCGGTTTAGTATCTTTTTCTTCTTCGTTCTTACTTTTAGTGTTGGAAGGGATCCCCTTCAACACAATTAAGTATTACGTGTCAACTGGTTATGCGCCATTGAGGCCATTGACTACGATTTCAGACTGCTTTTCTTTTTGGATTGCAACATATTTAATTAAACAAACATTTTAAACAATTGTATAGGTAGAGCTCAAATAATCAGAATTACGAACTTCATGTTATGGGTATATGGGCGTTTTTTTCTATTCTTTACAATTTAGAATTTAAAACCTTTAGACTACTTTTACCATGTTCGGCACATGAAAGTAAGTATTAAACAGCAAAAAATAAATTTAAAAAATTCGTTTATTTTATACGAAACTAATAGGTAAAGCTCGTTAGTTGGTGACAGCCACTCTTCTAGGAGAGACAACTCCAAAATCAAACAACTACTGCCTTGTTGTTTGTTCTTGGTTTGTTTAATTAAAAATGAGGCACATTTCTCGAGTATGTGTTATGTAGTAGTTAAGTCACTTATATCACTTAAAGGTTTGGAGATCGAAACCAATCACCGCCTAATACCAGCAGGAGTCACTGCGTGCGTTTTTCTGGTAACCAATTAATGGTTTCTGGTTTTAGAGAAAGTGCTCAAGAACGGACCCTAATGATATATGGTGGCGTTGTTCCATGCAATAAATTCTCTCCCCTGGTGGGGCTAATATGCAGGTTTAATCAGCTGGTCTCCTGGTCAGTTGGGGACAGCCTAGACAGCTGGGGGGGGGGCGGTCTCACTGGAGGGGGGGCGGTCTCACTGGAGGGGGGCGGTCTCACTGGAGGGGGGGGGGGTCGGTCACACTGGAGGGGGGGGGTGGGGTGGAGGTTCAGTTGGTGACACTGGGGAGAGAGGGGCATCAGCTGGGGACAGCCTAGACAGCTGGGGGGGGGGGGGGGTAAGTTGGTGATATTGTAGAGGGGGGGGGGGGGCACCAGCTGGGGACAGCATAGGACTTTTGGATTAAGGGTCAGTCGGTGACACCGGGGGGGGGGGCATCATTTTAGAGACAGTGAAGCACTGCATGCGGGTAGGGGTCAGCTGTTGGTCATCTGTGAATAGCATGCGGGGCGAGGGTGGTCAGTCTTTATTTCGTTGGGAGGGAAGGGGTGGGGGGGTTCGATGAAAAATCAATCACTGTGGTTGATGTTTTTCTAGCAAAGCTAATCATATGGTAATGATAAATGCTGGTGGCGTTGAGTGGATTTGTGTGTCGTGTGTCACAGATCGAACAAAGCCGGGCACAGCTGACGTGTTCTAAGTTTGGTTTTATAGATGGATAATTGCCGGGTTGGCGTGTCACGTGACATTTGTATTTGTTAAAACTTTAAACCATTATATAAATATATGTTTAGGTCAAATACTTTCAAACCAATGTATAACGAAAATAAACATTTTTAAGATGTTGGCCAAAATAATTTTAAAATTTAAGATGTTGGCCAAAATAATTTTTAAAACTTAAGATGTTGGCCAAAATAATTTTAAAATTTAAGATGTTGGCCAAAATAATTTTTAAAATTTAAGATGTTGGCCAAAATAATTTTTAAAATTTAAGATGTTGGCCAAAATAATTTTTAAAATTTAAGATATTGGCCAAAATAATAAACATTTTTAAGCTGTTGGCCAGAAACAAATAAATCTTTATATGTTCTTTATCACCGTTTAACATTACACTACTTTATATCAAAACAGTCAAACAAATATAATAGTTCTTCTCCTTTCTTTGCCGTAATTTACTTACATTTTCGCACCTTGTCTATAAGTAGAGTGCGTGTTTCAGGGCTTTATGAACGTCAGCACTATGTGCGACGCCTTTACTTGAAGATACACACCAAAACTGGGTAGAATCAACAGAGCCCTAAGTACTGAACCAGGGTTCTGAGCTCGAGACTTTCAGGTTATAAGTCGTAAGCTCTACCATTCGACCACACCTTTTCTACCCAGACTTAGACATTGTTTCTAGAAGGACGGTCTTCGTCGTTACCTCAATGATGAGCTAACACCAGTTTTCAAATCTAGATTCCAAGTAGACATTTTCTAGTCATTTTCTGTTCCACTATACGTCCACGTTATGGGACGAAGTGACCTAGCGGTAGAGCGCCAGACTACTAACGCGAAAGTCTCGAGTTCGAATCCACGTTTAATTCAGTGGATGTCTCTGAGTTCACCGAGCCCTGATGGGTACTTAACTCACGTTAGGTTGAAAAAGGCGTCTGGGCATAGTGCTGACCACATTATCCCTTCATATGCCGAGGAACTCTACTTCATTTACCATCGTGACACTGATATACCGGCTTAGGAGTTAGACTCCCATTAGCCAGGCCGGCTCCAACTAACTGGCTTTGAAAATGTGGGTTTGATCACTACATGTTGGTCGCGTTTCAACCGCAGGCTCCCCCCCCCCCCCCCTACCAGCTTCTGGACACCATGTCCTACTGCCTGTTACCCAGCCTGACTGTGGTGGGTGTTCGACTTCATCTACTAAATAGATAGATAGGTCTAAAGAGGATTATTTACCTACGTCCACAATGAGAAGTAAAAACACTCTATTTGACTTACATTTTAACAATGGGTTACAACTATGAGTCACCATAGTATTGAAAAATTTCACAAAAACAACTCTTGTAAACCAGCTTAAAAGACAAAAATTATTGGATTGGATTTTAAATCTGTTTTCTAATGCACAAAAAATCAAGTATAGAAAAGAAACTAGCTTAAAAACGAAAGTAGGATGATGGTAATGAGATGATGGTACTGGCAGCATTAACTTCAGGATAAAATGCGATTTAGTGCGTGCTTTTAAGATGGAATTCTTAAATTATTCACACGTTAAATGGAGCTGCATTTGATGGTTTCTGGAATTCTATACAGAAATTTCAATTTCATTTCTTTTCACGTTGTATTAAATTTACTTTACTTAATATTAATTTCCCTTTTACCAACCCACTAAATACTTTTAAAAAATTGGATTATGTTCAAGTAAAATTTCAGCCACATTAAAACTGTTCATAACTGAGATACCATGCAGACGTCACATTAAATACTTGATATGCCAGTTAACAAAATAACCATGTCGGGTTCAAAATACAACGCACAACCCACACGGAATTTCGATGTTTCAATCTAGTGAAATATTTTTTGTTAGTATCAAATAAATCAAACGTATTGAGTTTGATAGAAAAAACCCTACACTTATATAAAAAATATGTTTAAATAATGTATTGTAGAATACAATTACATGTATTATTAAATGTAAGATTAAAATAGATGAAAAATAGAAATGTATAATTGACTTGGAATTTAAAACATACGCATTGTAATTAACAATAGATTCTGCTTACTTTTGACTTAACTGCCGGACTAGATTATACTAGGGATAAAACACAAGAAATCGTAGCTGGAGAGTTTGTGGCCTGGAAAGTTCATTAGGTTCAATTAGTTTATTGATTAAGAAAAATCAACCACATCCATAAATCAATCGAAATTAAGAACAACACATTGGAACTCTAAGTACGGAAAGGCCGTTAAGTTGAACCAATGGCAGCTGGTCAGTTCGTCATTTGGTCAGATACTATAAATATATTGTCGTGAGATATTTTGTTTTGATGTATTTTGTCCGTGAGATATTTTGTCCTTGCTATCGTTTGTCCTTTATTATTTGTCCTGATATACTTTGTACGTAAGATCATTTGTGCATATAATTTGTCCTGATATATTTTGTCCTAATATACTTTTGTTCGTCAGATCATGATATCATTTGCCCTTTTTCAAAAATGGATGATTACTCATGATATCATTTGTCCATTAGAAAATTTGTCTGGGATAATTTGTCTGATATAGTATGCCATGAGCTCATTTGACATGGGATCATATATAAAATGTATATATATATATATATATATATATATATATATATATATATATATATATATATATTTATATAGCCCTATTCAGATTTTGAGATATAGATATATCAGAAAACCTCATAATAACAGTCAATGCTTTAATAAAAATCCCAATGAATCTGAAACAAGACAGAGGCCATCTTTTAATTCCACAATCCCACTCTTTTCAACTAATAAGGAATATTAACTCTCATCGAAGCCCCAAAAGATCTGAAAAGGCATTAGACGTGAATTCCTCCCAGCTAGAGGGCACTTTTCCATTTCAATAGATCGATTAAGGAGAGGAAGAAAGATCGAATTTAAGATGTCGAAGAGTTCTATTGACTCCTAAGGATTTTTGGATTTGGTGCGGAAGGGAGAAATGATCGAAAATTCCTTCCGAATATTGAATCGCCGGAAGGAGTAGAGATCAAAGACCCCATTTCGCATGTCCCCCGGTAGCATTAGATGTAATGAAACTAAATCAATAGCACTTGGGATATCTCGCCAGCAAGACCGAGTCAGGTCTTAGCTGCTTATTTCTAAGGTGGAAGAAGACATTGGTAAACAGTGTTTTTTTTTTAAAGTTTCCAGGCAAAGAAGAAAATCGCATGGCTAACATTAAAATAAACTAAAATAAGGAAAGAAGAAAAAAAATGTCTGCAAAGATGGAGGAAATGTGCGGGCAGAGATAGCAGATAATGGAACTCAAGTGCCCGACTTCTTGAAAAAAACATTTTTTCTCTCCCTTACAAGCCAAGATGACAAGGGAAGCAACTTTAGCCGATGGCGGGAGATAACGCAATAGACAACTTGACAATCGCAGTGTAGACAGTCACGCTAGAGGTGCCGGGAGGAAAAAAAATGTCTGGAGTATGTCTCGGTCATATTCGCGTGTTTCGGTAAATAGCCGAGTGAGTTTCTCACTAAGGGGAAATAGGGCTTTTATTGGCACTCAAGTCTAGCACCATCAGTGGCTGACATTTCTATTTTTAGACACACATTCCATTTTTGACACTTTCGGTGATAAGTCCTATATGACTGAACCGTGTTCTCTAAAATATTTTAAAATTTAAATCTAAATAAATTATATGTGTTTTATTTAATTTATGCCTTTATGACTGAATTTTTTACGATGTTTTATTGTATACAAATATAGTTTTATACATTTGAATTAATTATCTATCAAATATCTTTTTTCTGGTACGATTTTATATTTATTTAAAGAAAAGTAGCAGCCTGATTTATGAACTACACTTTTAAAAATCATCTCGCACGAAACTATTATCTGTGCTCATATTTCATTCGAATGGGACGGCGGTAAAAGGCTAGACTGCTTACCCGAGAGTCTCGTGTTCGAATCCGGGTTCAGATCACTGAAACGTCACTGAGTCCACACAGCTCTGATGGGTACCTAACTTACGTTATGAAAACAAAGGTGGCTGTTCATAGTGCTGACGACACTATCCCTTCATACGCTGAGGTCAATGAATCAGACGAACTGTACTTCATCTGGTAAACTTCATCTTAAGAAGAAGATATCATTTGTAAAAAAATTCGCTTAAAAAGTTAGAAAAGGTCCTATCTAAAGTCTGGTCAGCGTGTTTGTGCTATGCTGGATTTACCTTTGGCTTTTGACCTTGGTCCTATCTATCAACAGTGTTTGAACACTACCCAATATGGTAAAGTTTACAATCATTTGGTAGTAGCTTATACCAAATGGTGAAATATCATCTAAAATGGAATATATCTATATGTATTAATACCTCATATATGTGGTAAATCCTCCCTATGTGGTATTATATCACATAAGTGGTAACCCTTACCTATGTTGTAATACCCCTACCAATGTGGTAATATCATATCTATGTGTAATACCTTACCTATTTGCTAATTTCCTATGTATATGGCAATACCTATGTGGCAAAACTCACCTATGTGGTAATACCCCATCTGTGTGGTAATAGCCACATATGCAGTAATACCTTAACTATGTAGTAATACCCCACTTATGTAATGATACCACCTATGTAGTAATACCCCACCTATGTAGTAATACCCCACCTATGTGGTAATACCCCACCTAAGTCGTTATACCCCACCTATGTAATAATACCCCACCTATGTAGTAATACCCCACCTTAGTCGTAATACCCCACCTTAGTCGTAATACCCCACCTATGTAGTAATACCCCACCTATGTAGTAATACCCCACCTATGTAGTAATACCCCACCTATGTGGTAATACCCCGCCTATGTAGTAATACCCCACCTATGTGGTAATACCCCACCTATGTGGTAATACCCCACCTATGTAATAATACCCCACCTATGTAGTAATACCCCACCTAAGTCGTTATACCCCACCTATGTAGTAATACCCCACCTATGTAGTAATACCCCACCTATGTAGTAATACCCAACATATAATAATACCCCACCTATGTACTAAAACCAACCGAAATCCTACTACTACCATTCGTCTATGATATTAATACATTACGTCAAACCAAATTAACCCAAAGCTCAAATTTTAAAAAATCTATCATATTTTAAAAAAAAACAGTTCCTCTTTGATCTAGTTTTAAAATATTTAAGTCACTAATGTAATGATGTCGCTTCAATAACATGACGCAGTCAAACATATTTCATTCAAGCCTAGGAAGATCCTCTTTAAAGGTGTTACAAACTTGGCCGAAATCATTAAAATATCTTTTGATAACATCATCATATTTTCGTAAGTTAGGAAAACATACTCTAAAGTGCTAAGGTTTGTAATGTTGTGATTCAACGTTAAAGCTGGAATCCAGTTAGAATATAATATATTTACATACAAGGTACTTGTGGGACGGGGTGGTCAGATGGTAGAGCATACGACTGCTAACCCGAAAAGCTCGAGTTCGAATCCCGGATTAAAGTCAGTAGAACGTCTCTGAGTCTACTCAGTTATGATAGGTATCTGACCATCTTTAGGGAAAGTAAAAGCAGCTGGACATTTTGCTGACCTTCAGTATGCCGAGGTCACAGGTGAACTCTACTTTACCTGTACTACGTTGGGAAGGTAACTTTACTTTTTTTCTTTTTTTACGAGCGTACTAGATTATAATAGGAAAACCATTAATAGAACGTACTCTTGAGTAAAAAAAAGTGAAGGTTGTCTTCCTCATGTTTAAATAAGAGTTGGTTTTTCTCTCAGCATGGATAGATATCAAAAGCAGTCTAACACTATCAAACTTCGCTCGCTGAGTCTAGACTCAAAAGACGAAGTCAGTATAAAAGTATAGCGGTCTATTGGTATAGTAATAGAGTGTCTAGACTGAATTTGGTTAGTTACATGACATTTCAGTGAAGTTCTGGACTTTAAGTTTGTATAGGGTTAGGTCTTTGGTCTATGTTGTGTAAGTTGGTGTCAGTGTTTGCCGTGATGATGAGATAGGTCAGGATTTTGTCATAGAATTGGTCGTCTTGAAGGATTGTAAGCAATGCATCTAACGCTGTAAAATAAATAAGTAAACATCTTGAATCTAAAGATCCACGTAGCAGATGAAGTAGAGTTCACCTGTTTCCATTAACTCGGCATATGAATTGCTAGCGTGATCAACATCATGTCCAACCCTATTTACATTCCCTAACGGGAGCCAGGTATCCATTAAAGCTGGTTTGACTCAGGGACGGTTTACGGAGGAGCCCGGTATCCGAACTCGAGACTTTCGTTCACTATGCCATCATGTCGTTCCATCGCATCAGGTTTAGCTATGTTTTAAGATACAGATGACATCAGAGGCGTAGCGAGGCGGACCGCACAGGGTGACACCATTTAGGGGGGTGACTCCAAGAAAAATTTGAGGGGGGGGGAGGGTGACACCATTAAGTGACACCCGACATCGCTACGCCACTGGATGACATGTAGGTTCTGAATTGTTATAGTTGTTTATGAATTTCGCGACTGGGTTTACCAGTTATTGAAACATTGAGGGATAGAGCGTGGTTGGATGGTAGAGCTTACGACTAAAAACCCGAAATTCTCGAGTTCGAATCCCGGGTTCGAGTCTGCACGAAGTCCCTGAGTCCACCCAGCTCTACTGGGTACCTGACTCAATACGATTGGGCTTAGTGCTGAGGTCATTAAAAGTGACATACTGCTACAAATCGGTAAAATAAAATAAAAACTTTTAATTATAACTATTTAGCCAATTCTAGTGTTGGGATATATTTAGTTTTAGAGATTGGCACTTCTTGATGCATTTGTATTCATCACCTTCACGCCCTTGTTATTATATTTCTAATCGTTCACGAATTCGATCAAACCGTGGTCAATTATTAATAAAAATATTATCACTACCGGAATACGAAGTTGTCAAACCAATGTAGGAAGAGAGAGCTCATTACGGGCCAGATTTCGTTAGGGCCAACCAAGTGAGCAATTTCAGTGGCCACTGACCGCAGGGGCCACTTGGCCCATCGCGTGATTCCTTGCACAGAAAACGTCCCAGTCCTCGGCCATGCTCGCCAAATACCTTTGATTGCTGGGGTGGTCGATTCACGTACAGGACATGACTAAATTGTCTCCCCTTCAAATAGATGTGATTGCATTACCTCCCGGCATCCCTCGAACCAAAATGGCGTCGCGCGCTGAAGGGACCGGATGAGGGTGTTCATCTACATGGTGGGGCTGGCGTGGGGGACAGATAAAGACATTGTCAAACAGAAATGATTTCATTACACCCCCGGGCGACGCGCGGACATATTCATCTGATAGACGGGGGGTCGGGGTGGGGGTGGGGGGTGGCGGTGTCCAGCGTGTGGTCACATTCACACACACACACACACATACACACACACACACCGCTTGATTAAACTCACGTTATGCTTTGTATAACCTTTAAGCCCCGGAAAGGGCCCGCTATACAAAACTCCACATCACTTCCGGGTTGGGTGGCCAGACACATCTCTTTAACATCGCGCGAACGTCGTAGACGTCGTGAGAAAAAAAATATATTTCAAGTAGATTTTTTCTATTTTTCTTAAATGTCTGAGAATACAAGAAAAAAATAAAAAATATGCTTGTACAATTTTCTACATTTCTGAAATGTCTAGAATATCTGGTGAAAAAAAAATCTTGTACAATCTTCTACATTTCTAAAATTTTTGAGAATACATGAAGAAAGAAATATTGTTGTGCTATTTTCTGACATTTCTGTAATGTCTGGTGAAAAAAAATCGCGTACAATCTTCTCCATATCTATAATGTCTGTAACTGCAAGAGGAAATGAAAAAAAATTCTTGGACCATTTTCTACATTTCTGAAATGTTTGAAATAATATTTGAAAAAAAAATCATGTACAATCTACCCCACAGTTTTCTACAATTCTGAAATGTCTGAAATAGTATTGGAAAAAAAATCTTGTACAATCTACCCCATTTCTAAAATGTTTCAGCCAGGAAAAAATGTTCTTGTACAGTTTCCTATATTTCTGAACTGTCTGGAATAAAGTAAATAAAAAAGATCGATTATCGAATGTTCCAAAACCAATCAATACTCAGTGAGCAGCTCACTTGCAAAGGAGTGTAGACAGTAAAGCGATTTTTTGTGGATAAATCGGTTTATATTTAGGGATGAGTTTCTTTTTATTTTAACGATCAGATTTTTTTTTTTTTTTACGATACATCACGAGAGATAATTAGCTACTTAATTAAAAAATCACATCATTTTTTTGTTTTCAAGTAATCAACGTTAGCTCTTAGTATGCGTGTATATGTTAAATACATGTATTACAAATTTAAAGCTCTTTAATAACATCTACTTTTATGTTCTACTTCACTCTTTGTTTTGTAGGTGCTCCGGATCCACCAATCAACGTCAAGGTCACCAGTTGCCATGGTAACTCGGCGGGTCTCTCGTGGGACGAGGGCAACAGCAACGGCGCCGAGATACAGGGATACACCATACAGTTTAACACCTCCGACCACCCGGATCTATGGTAACACTCGCGTAGTCTAGCACTACAATGTATGTGTATGTGAGGATGGGAGAAAAAAAAATCTACGGTGAACGTAGGTTCGGTTGTGAGTCTGAATGGAACATATTAAATCTTACGACACATCTAAGGGTTTGCCTGTTTTTGTAAAGTGTAAAACAAGCAGATCAGTATACGCTAGGTTGACCGAATTCAGGCAAAATTTTAGAAAGAAATCTGTTTGAAACATTAATTACACTTATTTTAAAAAGTCTTTTAAGGGGGTTGTAGGCTGAGGTGTGACGTCGTTATGTGGAAGAAGCAGGTCTGTCTTTTTGTGTCTGTCTGACGGTGGGTAGGGAGTGGGTAAAATTCGTCAAAAATAGTGTGACGTCATTTATGGATGACCCCCCCCCCCCCCCCTTAAAAATAATATTAGAGTTCATTCTTTGAATGTAAATTCACTAAATTTAGACACAGTCCCCATTAATAAATGTAGAATGTGTTGTTGTGTGAACGAGAGAGAAAGATAGAGTACGAGAGAGAGAGAGAGAGAGAGAGAGAGAGAGAGAGAGAGAGAGCTCTAAGCTAATTAATGAGTTGTCTCATGTATTTGAAATAAGACACATCTACAAAACATATATAGGACGAAGCAGCCTAGCGGCAGAGAGCTAAACTGCTCGCCCGTTAGTCTCGAGTTCGAATCTGGGCTCAAGTCAGTAGACCGTCTCTGACTCCACCCAGCTCTTATGAGTACCTAACTTACCTTATGAAAAATAAAGGCGGATGGGCATAGCTCTGACCACACTTTTCCTTCATATGCCGAGGTCACAGAAACACGTAAACTCTACTTCACTGGCCGTATAGACCGTCAAGTTTTAAAGTGGAACTTTACTTTACAAAACATATCAGACACATACAAGCCACTAACTGCAGCAAATCTCTCTACAGGTATGACTACGATGAACAGTTCGACTCCAGCTTCAGGGCAGCCACGCTGCAGCTGTATCCGTACGGCTCCTACAGCTTCCGTGTCAAAGCCCGGAACGCGATGGGTTCCAGCAAGCCCAGCGCCACCCCCAGCCGGATGTGCACCACGCCCCCTGACCGGCCCGACCGTAACCCTAGCAACGTGAGGACCCGGACCGACACGAAGAAAACACTGGTGGTCGAGTGGACAGTAAGTTGGACGTTGTTCCAGTTGAACTGGGGTTTGATACTTGAGTTTTATCTATGTACGGCAATCAAACGCCAATCGCGGTTGTTCCATTTCAAGCCCATATGCAGTAATTCTATTTACGAGATGTTGGGATATTCCTGTAGTAGTAATATGTTATGTTACATTTTTTGTTTAAAGTATACGTTTTTATTCATCCGCAAAATGGATACGTTAGATTGTGTAGTTTTTAAAGTATACGTTTTTATTCATCCGCCAAATGGATACGTTAGATTGTGTAGTTTTTTTTTTAAATTATAATAATCTTAAAATTCTAGAAATTCATATTTTTATTATATTTTAATACAATGTGCAAAATGTATAAAATCTTTACAATCTTTGAAACTTTCAAACATTGAGTCCGCGATAAAAAAAAACCACTTCGTGTGAGAGGGAAACACAGTATCTAAACAAATAAAATCCAGTTGTTGATTTGAGACATCTGAAACGCATTTACTAGTCGTACGTCGTTGTTCTTTTTTAAAATCTAGTTCACAAATGTCAAATACGATGATTTTTGTTTTCTGTCTAAATTGATTCCTTCATCTTCCATACATTAAGTTATTACTAGATTTAAGTTGCCATTAACATAATTTTGATTTGTGGTGCGTTAAATTATTTTTCTCATAACTATTTTTTATTATAAAGCTAAAATTTTAGATTTACTCTAGTAATCAATACCCTTAAACAACTTCAACTAAGAATTGTATCTATGCGTCCAACTCATCACGGTAATTAAAATAGTTTTAAATACACTAGAGAGTTTAAATAAAACTAGTATGCCTTATTTATTTCTATACTATCTCTTCTTTTATTCCAGCCCATGAGCCGGTTATACTTCCACGGGCCTCGATTTCGATACCAGGTCAAATGGAGGTTAAAGGGCACGTTCACGTGGGACTCTGCTTACGTCACGGACCCCAACCAGGGGTTTCTGGACATTGAAACCAATGACGTGTACAACGTGTACGAGATCCAGGTCAAGGCCGAGAATTCGATGGGGGAGGCGCATCAGCCGGCGTTCATCTACCTCGGGCACTCGGGGGAATCTGGTGAGTACTCTAGTGACACGTGACCTTGTTGTTACCGGTAGCAGGGGGTCACGTGTCAAACTACAGCTCCACAAGGCGCAATTAAGCGTCCTATTATATATACATATACATATATATATATATATATATATATATATATATATATATATATATATATATATATATATATATATATATATATATATATATATTATACTAAGGGAAAATTAAGTTTAAGGTTCACAGGAAATACTAACCACACGCATATCAACATGACAAAAGTATTTGTTAGTATCAAACATCACGAAGACACCCTACTAATAGCGGGACATATTCAATACAAACAACATATCGAAGCAACATGCCCAATGAATATTATTATTTTTTATCACAATTTGCATAGACAAAACCTAAACATTTGACATAATCGATTACTCGCAAGATCTCACTAAACGAATAAACCGAATATATTTGGCAATGACGGTAAAAAAAAAAATCCAGGTCTAAAGTAAACCTAACGATATATATATATATATATATATATATATATATATATATATATATATATATATATATATATATATATATATATATATATATATATATATATATATATATATATATATATATATATATATATATATATATATATATATATATGCGAGTGTGAGAAAGAGAGAGAGAGAGAAATAAAATAATAGAATATCAGGCAATTTTAAAATTAAGTTAGAAATTTTTTTGTTAGCCATGTAGAGCCTATTTATTTTTCCCCACTCCTGACAAATTTGCATCAATTTCGCCTGTGTTCTGGACAATGGCACAATCAATAAAAAAATAATCTTGACTTGCCTTGTGTACCATCGATCATGCCTCGTATTGCACTCCCATCATCTCACTCCCTCGTATAGCACTCCCATCATCTCACTCCACTTATTACACTCCGCCCGAGTTGGCTCATCATTTCGTCCCAATTGTTTTTTTATTTTGGACAGATAACTCTTGTTTTTTTTTCCTACTCTCTCGTCGCATACGTCACGAGACTATATTTCCGGTTAGTTTTCATTCAAGTCCCTACAGTACTACTGAAGTATCGAGTGAGTTTATTGTAGTTTATACAGAAGTTTTGGCGTATGCTTGGATACGGTACATGGGGTAGGGGTGTTTAAAAAAAGAATCCACACACGCATATAAATTTATTAGTGAAATTAATTAATAGACCTATAAACAGGTTAAGAACTTTACGTAGTATTAGCAGGTTGTGTAGCCATGGGTCATGGGAGGGGTTCAAATATTTTTCCATATGTATAAAATCATATATATATATATATATATATATATATATATATATATATATATATATATATATATATATATATATATATATATATATATATATATAGGGGTATGAGTCCATAGGAGGGGTTATTATCCCCCTAACCCCCCCCCCCCCCTTGCCTACGCCACTGGTCTTAGCTACATGTTATGAATATTGTGTTGTGAAGGTGTTATCAAAATAGAAAAATACAAATGGTAGCTGCTGTGAGGTTAATGAATTAGTAATGAAACAGGTTGTATTAGCTACCTCACAAGTTAAAGACAGTTAAATGTGCTATTGACGTTTTACTGTCGAGCTTAGTCCAAAATTGTGTTACTGTTTGTCTTTTTTTATCTAGTCTTTAACCACACTGTTTTGTGCTGGCGAAGACCTTGGGTCGAAACGTCCATACCACCTGTAATTGCCTTTAACTAGTGAGGTAACTAACACTGTCTGTTTTATTACTAATACCAAAATAGAAGAAACAGCTTTTTCTACTTTTCTCGTATAGCGTATTGATAAAGTATTGTAATCGTGCGCAAAAATTACATGAAATTTGTATAGTTTTTACCTTTTTACACCTCCCTGCTTTATCGTATTCGGAATAAAAAGGGTGAGCTGTAATCGTGAACGAAATTTTATTCGCAATTTTGACAAATTTTGACCTTCCGGTATAAAAAAAAAAAAATCCCTATAGCCCTGAAAGTACCTTCCACCTACTGTTACATAAGAATATATGAGAAAGTTTAAGGGAGATCACTCCCGTTTTATTATTCTCTTCTTTAGATCTCATTTTCCTCAGCCATTTGAACAACAAGGAAGCTGACCCAGGGGCGTAGCGAGGGGGGGGGGGGGGCGGGGGTGCGGACCGCACCGGGTGACACCATTTAGGGGGGTGACACCAAGGCAAAAAATAGCAAAATATATAGAGAAAAACTCGAGGGGGGGGGGGGTGCAAATCGAAAGTTTGAGGGGGGGTGCAAATCGAAAACTCGAGGGGGGGGGTGCAAATCGAAAGTTTGAGGGGTGGGGGTGCAAATTGAAAACTCGAGGGGTGGGGGGTGCAAATCGAAAATTTGAAAGTTTGTCCCTGGGAAGGGTCTCTATGCCTCTGGGGGGGGTGACACCATTAAGTGCCGCACCGGGTGACACCCGACCTCGCTACGCCACTGAGCTGACCTAAGTGGTTTCAGATTTATCACTACCAATAAAGCAAGGCTATGACGTCAGCTGTAGCAAAATACCCGTTTTATTTATATTGGCAAAAAAAAATATTTCGAAATATGGAAGGAAATAATGTTTAAAGAAAATAAAAAAACTAACAGAATTAAACATCAAAGATGTCATGAAAACCTGGTGTTATTTTCACAGCTTGAAGTTGTTTTTTTTTTGTTAGGAATAGGATAAGGGAAAAGGGGCGGGGGATAAAAATATATTTTCTGGTTATTTTTATGAATAAATAAACTAAAGATTTATCATGTTTTTTTTAAAGAGAAATCTTAGGACATATTGAAGACGAATAGTAAAAGGAAACATTTAATTTCGTTATTTAACGCGTACTTTTAAACAGCAGATGAAACAATTAAGGTTTGATTTCAATAGTATAATCTTAAAAAATTGTTATTGAATATATGTGTCTATGAAAGGCGAAGCACTTCGGAACCATCAGTAAATAATAATTCTATTTTCCTCTCATTTGGGGCTTCTCATTGACTTTTTTCTCCAGTGGGGGGGGGGCACTTTAAATTTCCCTAGACAGGACATAGGTTCAAGTCTAACTTTTTCTGCATAAGCTTTATTTTTTTTCTTATATGTCCAAGGGAAGTGATTGGGGGAGGGGGGGAGAGATGTGGTGAACGTGCTACGGGGGGGGGGGGGGGCGGGGCGGGGCTGGAAAGATGTCCAAAAGGAACTCTTTTTTTTTTCAGTAACTATCTGTAAAAATGAGCAAATATCTGTAAAATCTGCAAACATCTGCACAAATCTGTAAAAAAAATATGAAAATAAATGTAAATACCTGTAAATAAATATGTAAATATTTGTAAATGTCAGTAAATAACGCATCATTTGCTTACAGAATCAACTCTAGATCCTGTTTTATTCACGCTAGAAAAATGAAACGATTTCTTGTTTTTTAAAATTATGAATCAAAATAACTCTCACATGGAATCAATATTAATCTTTCAAGAAATTAGAATCCCAACAGTAAAAAAGGAAAATATAATGCTAGGAATGGGATAAATAAATTTAAAAAACAGCTGTTGCATGTTTCTGGGTTTATCCACTTTCGCTTCCATCCACGGACGAACATGCTAATCCGCTCCCTCGCATGCAGATCTGAGAGCCGGATTAACGCAGCTGTAAATAAGATTATACGGCTTACATTTCACGGGATTCCAGTGTGTATGTGTGTGTGTGAGGGGGAGGGTGGGGGCGTCGAGACATCGAAGAAAGCCATACTTACTTTTTAAAAATTGACGTCACATCCGGGCATCGGCAACGCGAAGAATTCTTTTGAGTTTACTGTCATTCTTGTCCATTAAGACGTTTGCACTTCGCTTAGTTTAAATGACGCGGACACTTAGAATATTTGGTTGAAAACAGATCAGTGCTCTGAAGAAAAAAAAAAGCGATTTTATTGTTACTATTGGTTAAAAAAAAAGGTGTGACCCGAGAGTCACGAGTTCGAATCCGGGATGAAATCAGATGAACGTCAGTGAGTTCACTCAGTTCTGATGGGTACCTAACTTACATTAGGGAAACTAATGCGGCGGAACTCTATTTCATCTGCCCCATGTGTCGTGGACACGAACGGGAAATGATGATGATGATTGATACAAGGGATTTTTTTTGTGTCATTTTTTGTTTGTTTATTAACGTTTTTTCTTCTTATCGTAAACAGAATATAGAGGAAGTATTGAAATCGTGCTGAATAAATTAAATAACATATATTTTGTCAGTTTCCCCTTTTTTACACCTCCCTATTTCGACATATACGGAACATAAAGGGGGCGTATATCAACGGTGGGGTGTATGTCCCTTTTTTTTTTTTTTGTGTCCGGATACCAGTTGCCACCTTTAGCTTTAAAACCAAAAGTACTTTAGCACACCACGCATATATATTCCAACCCAGACCTTGAAAATCCGTTTTACATAATTGTCTTTCCTGTTAGTTTACGCATGCGTAATAGACCTTATGCAACTCTGATTATCACTTTTCCAGCTCGACTTTTCCCCCTTGCGCGATTGCCTACCCTAAGCACAACACCGTTTCCTGGTGTATTCCAGTCGCGTTTTTCGACTGCTAATGAAATAATGAGATCGGGGATCTAGCGTCCCGGGTCTGTTCGATTATCTATTTAGGCCATCGCATGACATCCGATAAGCCTGACCGTTGGGAGGACGGTGTCTGAACTGGTGAATCAAAACAGGCTTAGCTCTTACAAACAACTGATTGTAAACACGGGTATTAAACTCGTGGAGTTTATACCACTGGTATAGATTTAGATGTTTTAGACGTTTAATTTTAAAACAGGTTTAATTCGTTTCAACGGGGTTGGGATTATTGAGATAAAGGGAAAGTGAAGGATGTTCTGTTAAAGAAGAAGGGTCCGGGGGGGGGGGGGGGGTCTTGAGGGGGTTTTGAGGTAATCGAATGTGAGGTTCGAGACTTAACACTGACCTAGAGCTGGGGAATTGTGTGACCGACCGTGTGACATTATCGGGTCAACCCGGGGCTCACAGATATCAGGGGGGATTACTGGGAACAACAGAAGTGCTTAGACTGTTGCTTTAAGGTTATTTCCCCTTTGTGTTTTAAGGTAACTTCCCATTTTCTATAGGATTATTTCCCTTTGTTTTTGTTTTGTTATAAAGTAACATTTCCAATAAATTACTTGGGTTTAGTTTCCTTTTGTTTTGAGTTAATTTTCTCTTTGTTTTTTTTTTTTTTTTTTTTTTTTTTTTTTTTTTTTTTTTTTTTTTTTTTTTTTTTTTTTTTTGCTGAGACTTATTTCCATTTTGTATTTTAAGAGAACTACCGCATTACGTTTAAAGGTAACCTCCCATTGGTGATTTTTACTTACCTCCCATGATTATTTTTATTAAAACTTTTACTTCCCTTTGTATTTTAAGGTAACTCGACAACCCTCCCCCACCCCACCCCAAACCTCCTCTTTTTTTTAAACTTAAGGAATATAATTATTCATTGTATTTATAGATATCGTCGAGTGTATGAATAGACTCACGGGGAGTGTGTATGTGTGTATGTGTAATGTGTATGTGTGCGTATTGTAAGTGTTGATATGTATGTGTAAGAAAATTAGCAAACTAAAGGGAGGTAATTTCCTTTTTAATCTTAACATTGCTACAAAGATTATTTCAATACCCAACTAACAATGGGGAGGGGGAAGGAGAATTTATCTTTTGAAAGTGATCGATAAAAAGGTAGAAAAAGAACATAAAAATGTATTTAATACAGAAATGAAATAAATCATTATCCAAAATAATATATTCTTTCTATTACGTTAATTACGTTTGAGCGTTTAAAAAAAATGTCGATTAAATTCGATTTATATGTCAACGCTTTTATTTATTATTAAATTGAGGATCTTATATTCTAATTAGATTTACTTTTCTTTTATTTTCGTTGTGAATGAGATCGTGAGTTTAAGTGATTAAGGGTGTGGAAAAGCGATTTTAGATGTTTGGGCTTTATATTGCGTTTAGGAATTTTAATGCAATTACATATTATTATTAATGAAGATCGATAATGATTGCTAAAAAGTGTAAAGGAATATAATTATTTTGAAATCAACGTAAATGAAATATATATATATATATATATATATATATATATATATATATATATATATATATATATATATATATATATATATATATATATATATATATATATATATATATATATATATATATATATATATATATATATATATATATATATATATATATATATATATATATTTATATATATATATATATATATATATATATATATATATATATATATATATATATATATATATATATATATATATATATATATATATATAATGTTCTAACACAGAGTTAGTATACTTTTGTTTTATGGATTTTTGTGATTTCATGTCTGTACTGCCTTCTTTTGTTAAAAATGTTTTGATTCAGAAACTTCACTATGGAATTGTGGGGTAACTTTTGACTCAGTTAAATGTTGTGGTGTTTTCTTATATTTTTTTCTTTCTTTTCTTCCAGAACCGCTGGTTGCACCGTCCAACTTTTCACTCAACCCCGAGTACCACATAGAGCCCCACACAGCCCATTTTATCTGGGACGCCGTGGACACGGCCACGGAACAAATCTGTGGAAAGTTCAAAGGTTATAAGGTAATATATATCCACTTGACATCGCACTTTAAAGTTTAAAAATAGATCAGTATCAATGATTGTTTCATGTGAAAATACATTAGCCGTTGAATTCTGTTGAAAGGGTTCTAGCACGAAGAGTATAAACTCTCTAATGCAGTGGTTCTTAACCTTTTGAAGGTACCGAGCCCTGAATCTTCCATATGCGAATTCACCGAATCAATATTAATATTATCCTCCGCACTGAAAAAATTCTATCGTGAATCATATGTGAGTCAAGTGTATCTTGAACTCCGCCAAACCCTTATGAATGACACACCAAACCCCAAGGGTTCAAATAAACTCAGGTTAAGAACCACTGATCTAATGGTAAGTGCAATAAACAGAACGAATCGTAATGTCCAGCGATCACGCAAACTTAGGATAAAATGATAAAGAGTTAAATTAAATATAAGTCACACGCAAGAAGTATTATAATTTGGAACCGCTTGCAAAGTTATACGTGTAGTTTAGTTTGTACGTTCTACTCACCTGGATTTATACACAGGGACCAGTACATGGTAACAGTAGCTTCAAGGTGTGATGACACAGAGTGACACCATTTAGGGCGTGACACCATTTAGGGCGTGACACCATTTAGGGAGTGACACCATTTAGGGAGTGACACCATTTAGGGCGTGACACCATTTAGGGAGTGACACCCATTCGAAAAAATCGTTAACTTTAATGTCGAAATTAGTGGTCCTCGTTCCTTCGTAGAGGAGGAGTCGGATGGACTTGAAACTGTTGGGGAAATAGATGCTGGCTGAAGTATATATCTTCTATATAGATTATAAAGTAAGTAGTTCCCTTTCAAACCTGACGGCCTATGGGGCAAGTGAAGTAGAGTTCACTTGTTTCTGTGACCTCGGCATATGCCCAGCCGCCTTCACTTTCCCTAACGCGCGTCAGGTACCCATCAGAGCTGGGTGGACTCAGTGACGGTCTACTGACTTGAACCCGGATTCGAACTCGAGACTTACGGGTTAGCAGTCCAGCTCTCTACCGCTAGACACCTCCGTCCCATATATAGATTATATCATTTTTTTTATTTTCTCTGGTTGTTGTGGGTGCCGGTTGAAGTGTTCCTAAGAGCTGTGACACCCCCGCCCCCTTACCCGAGGAAGAGAAATGAACTCTTGTCAAAATAATGTTGTGTCTAGTTAATTATTTTTTAAGCTGGTGTATATGAATGAGATTAAACACTATAAAAGCTACCAAGTGACGTAACTGAATGGTAACGGTCATTATTAAAGATTTTTATATACCTAGTTATATTTTTATCATTAAGTTGGATAGGGTATGTTTTAGAGCTGAGTGGACTCTATGACGATCCATAATGACGGTGATTTGACCTATTAGGGGATTGTTTGTAAAACGAACACTATCGCAGTCGATTTCACATTGCATCTTTTAAGCCATAATACTCTTAGATATACAGTAATAAACACTTTATAGAGCTATGTCCTGTCATCTAGTCAGCTTTTATTTGTCGAATGTACGTAAACAAAACAACAATAGAATAACATGTTTACAAGCCAACCCTCATATTGACGCAAAAACCTCTAAATTTTAACATAGGGCAGGAAGTGTGTTTTTTTCCCGCAGTGATGTTGTGTGTTGTTATCATACGAGCCTGTATAAGGTTATCGAGAGAGACTCTCTCCTAAGAGCTAATGTAGTCTACCAGCGTAATGTTTTTCACTCTTGGCCTTTTCAAAACACCCTCCCCCCCTCCCATTTACTTAGTTTCTCTACCCCTGGGGCACAGTGAAGTGAAAGTGGTGAACCCATAATAGGGCCTGATATTCTTGTTGAATCGTTGTTGAAGTATAGAGTAGGTGGCTGCTATTTTTGTCTATCTCAGGGGTTCTTAACCCTTTTGGAGGTACCGAATTCATCTAGTTTCAGATGCGCACTCACCGAACCCTTCTTAAGAGTTCTATCGTTTGATTTGACAAAATCAAACATGAATCGTATGAGTAGGGTGAATGTCATGAACTCCACCAGACATTTGAGACTGGCTCCGAAACCCCTGTGATTCGATCGAACCCAGGTTAAGAACTACTGGTCTAATGCTACAAATCGATTGACAAATAGGTCTAATTATCAGGATTTATATTTCCATCCCTGGTTTGTCTATTATATATTAACTTTAAGGTTTACAAGTAAGTATGTATCAATTATATAAAATCTATGCTTTATTTCAATTTATCACTGATTACTTGCGTTATTGAGTAATTGTATAGTTGTGTATGACATTTTTGAATAACCGATAGGTGTTAAGACTAGTGACAAAAAAGTTTTCATTAGCTGCACGGATGTGTTTTAATGGAAACAAAATTTAACCATTCTTATAAACGTCTTACGCCACTACTCCACGGAGTTTAAAATGATCCCCTCCCCCCCCCCCCCCCCAGAGTAAGCAAAACAGTCTAAAATAATATTAAAAAAAAAAAAACCTTCCATCCTCCCCAGCTCCGCTACTGGAAGTCCAGTGAGGGCTGGAACAAGAAAAAAGAAGTCGAGATCGTCATCGGGGACGAACTCCGCACCCACGGGCCCCGCATCAAGGTGGCGCTGTCCGACCTGCCAGCCTACACGGCACTCAGGGCCCAGGTGGCCGTCATGAACGCCCACTACACGGGACCCTTTAGTGAGCTGCTAGACTTCTTTACACCTGAAGGAGGTAACTAGTAGGCCTATTTTTATAGCTATTTTAAAATTTATAATCGATATTCTATAATCAGTTTCAAATATAAAGAGGTTAAGGCGGTGTTGCAATCAATTGTAAAATACATTTTATACATAAGTTACATAAACGCTTAAATCATATAAATGCCATGATACTATTGTTTATAGGCTACTTGTTTAAGTTCATCAGAAATCTGAGATAAATTGTCATCTAAGGGAAGTAAAAAATGCAACATTAGAACAATCATTAACATGAGTTAATTTTCTTTGGATGACTAATATTATTCTTTTTTTGCGTGTACTCTAAGTTCCGAGTGCTGTAAGAGACTTGAGAGTGCACGCATTTGGCGTAGCTTACGTTTTGCTGAAATGGAAGCCGCCCCAGCATCCTAATGGCATTTTGCTTGGTTACGACATTGCTTACCAGCAAGGCAAGTCTTTATTTTTGTATTGTTTCACTTGTAATTTCTCTAGTGACACTAGAATTTTTAATAACAGTACCTATCAACCAATAACTCTAGATCAGGGCTAGTGTTAGAAATTTAAATTAAGGTATCATAGATCTAGATGATCTAGAATATCTAATCTAGATTCAGAATCTAGATCTAGATCTAGATCTGTAATCTAGTACTAGCCTATATAAAAAAATAATATATTAGGCCTATATAATTAATATATATAAATAAATAATAATTTAATTTAGACTCTAGTATTCTAGTAGTATAAGATCTAGATTTCTAGATCTAGCTTTAAACTTTAAATATTACCAAATAAATAAGCAGTAAGCTAGATTTCAAAGTTTAAATTAAATACAAATAAATAGCCTAGGCCTATTCCTATTAATTACTACTAATCACTATTACTATTAAAAATATTTCAAAATGTATTATTTATTAGGCATTATTAGGACCTAGGGATTAGAGTAATAGACTTTAACTTTAATTTAGAGTTAAGACCCACTGAATAAAAATTTAGCCCTTAATCATTAGTCGAGGTCTAATTTAAAATTTAATTATTTAGGCCTAGCTTTTCTTAGACTTGTAGCCTGTTTAGGTCCAAGTTCAAGATCGAGATCTATTTCTCAAGTGTTTTTTTTAAATTAAGTTTTACTACTCAACTTATGTCTACATTTATTTAGGCTATTCAAATTAGATCTATATTGTGTTTGTAACTAGAACATTAATATAATTATAAATTTAGGCCTAATGTTTTGACTTATTTTACACACTTACATTACTACAAGAAATAAATAACATTCTAGAATAATCTAGTTAAAACCGAAATGTTGGCCAAACGCCAAAAAATTTAATTTTGTTAAACATGTTTTATTTTATCAATGTTTGACAGTGTCTGGACTAGAACTTGGGCCCATTCGTCCACTTATGCCCCACATAAATGACCCTTTAACGCTTGGGGCTCGGATAACTGGCCTACAATCTGGCCACAGATACAGATTTATTGTATGGGCTCGTACAAAACAGGGACGCGGTGAACCAAGTTTCAATGATATGATCACTGCTAAAGGACAAAGTAAGAGTTTCGTACATTTTATTGAATTTTTTAATTGTGTTACTTTTTACATTGTTCTATTTTTATTTTTTATTTTATTATTTAAGGTTTGTTATCTACTGTATTTCCATCATAGTTAGTGTTAGCAGTTAGGGTGAGGGCTGTGTATGGTTGGGGCTCTGTTTAGGTCTAGGATCAAGAAATTGTATGTATTTATGACAAAATAAATACTCAAATGAAATCTGCCATTTCACAGTACCGAATCCTCCTAAAGTACAAGTTTCAGAGTTAAGTAACTCAAGCGTCAACATCACCTGGATGTCAGACCAGGCATCTAGAGATGTAAAATACCTGGTGGAGTACAGGCAATCAGGTGAGACCAACTTCATCTTTATCACTCACCTACATTACTCCCCTTTCTTTGTCCCTTTTTACATTAAAGTAATTCTCCTTCTAAGTCTTTGTGGCTCCAATTCTTGGTCTTTGATATTTCTCTTTTTCATTTTAATGACTCTTATTTTTAATCTTTGTGGGATCTCTTCTTAGTCTTTATGACTGTGTAGGCTAATTGCCTGCAATATTTAATAAAATATCAGTGTCATCAAATATAGACTAACTTAAAAATAAGCGTTATTAATATATTCTCAATTAATCAAGTGAATTTAAAACAATTATAGCACTAAAATGACATTCTAAGTGAATCTATTAATCTTACAGTTAGATATAACTGTATAACACTTCTTAAATTTTTTTATTAAATGTGTATGAAATTTTAATATAGGTGTGTGAAATTCAATTGAAAATTAGTTTGTGAAAATTCATTTAAATATAAAGTGTGTGAAAATTCAATATAAGTGTGTTAAATTCATTTAAATATAAAATGTGTGTGAAATACAATGACTATGAGTGTGTGATATTTAATTCAAAATAAAGTGTGTGAACTTCAGTTGAATATAAATGTGTGAAATTCATTTGAACATAACAATCTGTGAACATCAGTTGAGTATAAATGTGTGAACATCTGTCAAATATATTTGTGTGAAATTAATTTGAATATAATAGTGTAAACATCGTTTAAATATAAAAGTTTGAACATTAGTTGCATATAAAATATTTGAACATCAGTTGAATGTAAAATGTGTGAATATAAATGGAATATAATGTGTGAACATCAGTTGAATATAAAATGTGTGAACATCAGTTGAATGGAAAATGTGTGAATATAAGTTGGATATAATGTGTGAACATCAGTTGAATATAATGTGTGAACATCAGTTGGATGTAATGTGTGAACGTAAGTTGCATTTAAAATTGTGAACATCATTTGAATATAATGTGTGAACATCAGTTGAATATAAATATGTGAACATCGGTAGAACATTTATGTCTGAACTTCCCAATCCCTGTAGGCCATCAAGACTGGCACAACACAGACTACGTGTACGACAAGTCCTGGCTGATGCTGGACAAGTCCAATGTTCCAGTGGCCGACCTGGAGGTGCGTCTGGTGGCCAGCAACAGGATGGGTGACACGGCCACCAGCAAGACAATAGCGGTGGCCAAATCTTTGCACACAGGTAAGCATGAGAAGGGCAGATTTTTTGTATGAAACAAAGATGTTGATTATCTAGAGTAAATAATTTTAGTATTCTCCTTAGAGTGTGGTCACTAGAAAATGGGATTAATATCTTAATAATGATCAGTTTTTTTTAATGCATATCAGATGTGTTGTTAATTTTTCAGGCTTATTATTCTAAAAATTTGCTTGAAATTTAAATTCTCTGGTTAAAAATAAACAACTTAATAGTATAGGTCTTCATGTCAATGATATATATATTAATAATTTTGTATCAAATCTATACTCTGTAAAAAGTCAATGATATTAAAAAAAATACACAAATATTTTTTAGTTTATTTTCCAGTTGAATAAAAAATTGATTGAATTTCTGTGCATTATTTGGATAAAGATAAAAGACATGCCTACATTTTTTGCTCACCCATTGTCATATAACTGTTTTTGCCTAAAATTTTTTTTTTTTTAATTATCTCCTTAGCAAACAAAACAGACAAAAAGAAAGTTAAGAATTCAAGCAGTGCATGTTCAAGCAATTTCCTTCTGGTTGCGCTTGCGCTGGTACCCTTCTCCCTCAGCAATCTCGTCTTCCTGCGGTGACACTATGTTGTGCCGTCACCTTCCTGCTGTGACACTACGTCAGTGTCACCTTCCTGTGGTGACACTCCATATGGTGTCACCTTCCTGTGGTGACACTATGTTGTGCCGTCACCTTCCTGCTGTGACACTACGTCAGTGTCACCTTCCTGTGGTGACACTCCATATGGTGTCACCTTCCTGTGGTGACACTATGTTGTGCCGTCACCTTCCTGCAGTGACACTACATCAGTGTCACCTTCCTGTGTTGACACTCCATATGAGTGTTACTATGAAAATCATAAGAACACATAATGATCTCCGTGAGTATGAACCTAGACGTTCATGCCCCCATATATTTACTTCTGTAGCTTAGAGTGATACTGTTTTGTTTCCTTTACATGGTTAAATGAATGAATTTTTTAATGAATAAACTGTATGAGGTGTTACTTGATTTTTTTTCATGTATACATCATTAAAGAAATATTTTGATGTTGCTAAAAGAAAATGAAAAAAGATATTTTTTACACGTTGTTTTTATGGTTGTGTTATACACACCTATGTATATAATCATGTATAATTCAATGCAATTGTATTATATTTACTAGTAAATGCCAGTTAATGTTAATGTTTTTTGAAAGTCAAAGTTGTTTTGTTTCATTATATTGCTTGTCCAAATAATGAAAGTTTTTCGCATTTTAAAATATTTTTTATCACATGTTCTGATAATTTTAGTTACAATTTTACACACATAATTATGTAGCATTTCTTTTTTAAAATTATTTTGTTTTTAATTTCAGTCTTTAGTTTTTTTTTTTTTTTTATTACCATTATTTTAAACAAGACTACATAATAAATTGTGTTTTGTTATGCTTTTTAATTAAGATTAATTTTAATCATTTATACTTTAAAGTGATATTTATTAAGTTTCATTAATTTGCTAAAATCAAATGTATTTACTATACGATTTAGTTTCTAATGTCCAATGTTATCATTATTTTCTCTATATACTTTGGCTGCAGTACTTGGTTTAATTCACATAACTCTCTCATCTAATTGCTCAAGATTATGCTGCTTACATATAAACACATCAGTCGCTTCTGTAGCTTTATAGGTACTTTATCTTCCAATTGACAATTTTTTAATTATAATTTTTCTTAATATGTACAAATATTAACCTAACTCTCTGTGCAATAACTTTTGCAATGTATTATTTTCCTGACATTTTTTCTTGTCTTTATCCTGTCCTTTTATTGAATTTATTTTTATCTCCCTTTGTGTATCTTATATTTCAGAGAAAAATATGCATTTTCCTATTGCATTTATTTACTTTAATACCACTTCAGTTTACGTTAATCACTTTGTTTTTCAAAACTCATCTCCATTTAGAAAACTATTAATTTTTATATGTTTAGATTTCCTTAAGGGCATTATTAGTAATGTCATCCCGTTACGAGAAAATATTTATAGTTACATGTTGCCCCAAACATTCAGATTGTTTCCCCTGATCTCTAACTGCTTAATGTTTTTCAGTGCTTGAAAAATGTTTCAAAACCTGCTAATGACATTTGGTTGTGTCTGTTGTTCCTGCTAAACATATTGGTTGTGCTAAAATATTCATCGAAATCACTTGAACCAGGTTGTGACGGAGTTATTAAAAACTTGGCATCAAATTTACAATTTGCTAAATAAATGGATTTTTTAATGGAACAATATATTAACATATTTAGTAGATTTATTTTTAATTTTACCATACAAAGGAATTTACTATTTATAGATAACATACAATTTAAAAAAAAAGTTTTGTGCATATAAAACACTTGACTTGTTACATGTCTGAGTTCTTGTCCTGCATATTTAGGTGGAATATACAATTTACTTGCTAATCTTTTAAACAAATAAGGAATACCTCTGGGTATTTCTTTGCAAATGGTCTACCTAAAAAATAATTAACATTCTTACTTAATGACAATAGCTGCCAGTGAACTTGTCTAGGATGTTTTACAAAAATTCGCAATTGTTTTTTTTATATAATGAATGTTAACATACATAAATAAAATTTAAATAAAAATCTATTCATTGTGAGGTAAAAATAATAATATTTATTTTCTAATTTTTTATTAGTTAAACACACTGTAATAATGTACATTCTAACACAGTACATCATTATATATTATACTTAAGTATTATATTTTGTAATACACTGTAATATGGTACACTACAATATGGATCAACTCAGCACACTATATTATGGTACATTATAATTTCTTTTCACACATTAAATGGAATGTTAAAATGTTCAAGATATTAACACATGTTTCTAAAATTATATTTATAAATCTTTTTTCAATATTTTATCAAGGTTTGCTGGGCAGCAAAACATCAACTTCAACCTCATATAATATGTATAGGGTTAATTATGATATTGTATATCACAAAACATATACTGTATTCCATTTACAGCTGAATAAGTTTGACGACATCCATGATATTATAAGCCAACCATAGCTTAGGTAGAATTGGTAGTTCATGTTTTCACGATTCCACCCATCACATTTTTTGTGCACATTTTTTGAAGGGTTCTTGTTGTATCATTGCTTGTGTAGATCCCCCCTCAGTCATTGCTATTTATTTTTGCAACACTTAGTTGGGTAGTAGGGGGAGGGAGAGATGTAATATTGTTTTATTTTATTAATTTAAACCAGGGGTTGGCAACCTTCAAGACGGAAGAGCCAAAAGTTAGAATTTACAAAATCAGCCAGTTTTAAAGAAACTCTAACATTTTTTCACATAAAAACATACATGTTTCGCACAAAACATAATAAAGTATTTTAGCTATCTCTGCTAGGATAACAAAATCAAATTATATAACTATTACACTATCCCTACCAAACTTAGTAGCCTATAACTAAAAAACCATGTCACTCAAGTCAAATTAATGCACACTATCACATAAGAAAATGCCTTCTGAATGAAATAATTAATAGAAAATATTCCGTGGTGGAAGCTGGGCCTAGTACCTAAGCAGCCTTTGTCTGTATACACTCTATTCCACCAACCCTTAGTGGTTTTATCTTATTTAAAGTTGTTTTTTAAAGTATAATATTTTTATGAATTATGAAAATAAAAAACTTATTATGGAACTGGCATGACATCTAAAGACATGCATCTTTGCTACCACAGATTACCTAATTTGCAATTGCATGAAAAAAATGTAGTTAAAATCCCAATGCACGAGGGCGTATTTACCAGAACAGAATTGACAATAAATTGAATTTTTTTTTTTTTTTTTTTTTTATAAACTATGTTTATACATTTTTTTGCGGCTTTTTATTTACGAATCTTTTCCTAAATATTTAACAATAGGAATTTCTGGCTAATTATTTTCAAAATAGAAGAAAAAAACTGTATGCATAGTGCTTTCTAACTTTAAAAAAAATGACCTTTGTGGTGTAACCTATTTAATTTATAGCAATGACTGAATTAGTTTTTTTCAACTTTACCTCCCCTTAGAGTTAGCAATCCTACTTATGTTAAGCCCCTTTCATAGTTTGTGAACCAATTTATGATGATGATACCAGTGGAGGTGAACTACACTGCAAAACTAAATGACATTTAATGCCATTCCAGGTCCTTATTCAGCATCGGTTGTGACTTGTACTCTAAATATTTTTATAAACTTTTTCCTAGCGTGTTGTGAACAGCCAATATTATTATTATTATGACTATAGATTTAAATTATTCTATTTCTATCATCGAAATTCCACCCATGTTCAGATATTACTGCACTCTCCTAATATCATTCCATCATCAACAACTTATTCCGTCGCTCCATTGTTCCATCATATTCCGTTTAATGTACAATCATATTCTCATCCATATTGACCATTATTCTCAGATGACGCCTATGCTTTATAACCGTTGATCAAAATGAAACTCTTTGTTTTTGTTGTTTAATTTAAAATACTGCTATTTCACTTTAAGTTTTGTTTATTTTAAGTTATTATGTTTAAAATATTTTTACTGTTAGAACATGCTATTATTTTTCACAATATATATGCTTATATAATTTAATTAAATTTATGACATTTTGTATTTTGTTTTCTATTTGTATGGCAATACTAAAGTCATTATCTAAGCTGTTATTAGTTTATAAAAACTGCAAGAAAGATATATAAATGCTAATTTGCTGTCTCTTTCTCTTATTTATTGTTATCACAATTTCTTTGTCATTGAGCTTGTATGTACAATGTTCAATTTTTGTAAATAATTGATTTTCAAATATTACTGGTATGATATTTTAAAAATTTTCTACATAATGTGAAATTTGCATTAATTATAATTTAAAACGTCTTAATTCTATTTTTTCAAAAATTCAGTATCCTGTTGTAGTTAAAACTTAAAACATTTTTTTTTAAATAAAATAAAACACTTTTTTTTGAAAAACATTTTAGATAAAATAAAATACAATTTTAGTTGGTTTCTAAACTTGAGTTACAAGTTACATTAATCTAAACTTTTTTGTAAATGACATTGTAATATATCTCACATGTGTAATGTTTTATCATGTAGTTTTAGTGAGGAATTTTTGAAAATCACAACTTCTCAGCTTCTTGTAGGATGCCAAATGATTTGTCTCAGGTACAAAGAGGTAGAATTTACTAGTGGAATTCTTAATATTATCTGTCAATTTTTTAAAATACTAGGCTATCAAATAAAACACCTTCTTATTATTATATCATTCTATTCTAAAATGAGGGTCCACTTTCAAAACCTGCTTAACCACATCTGACTAATTTTGAGGATATTGACTCAAAAACTTTTTTTTGTTAACTAACCTTCTGGTTTTTTATATTTTACTGTTAAGAATTTTATTTTATATTATACCTTTTAGAACAAAAATTGCTACTTAATTAAGAAGGCTATAAGAATAATTGATTTTTTTTCAAAAAGTGGCCTTAGCAGGTTTTGAAAAAGTACTCAAATAAAAAGAATTTGGTTATATATGCTAAATTAGGTGGTGAAAAAAAAATTTCCTGATGTAATTTTCTTAGTGTAAATTTTAACAATCTAAATATTTAATTTTAAAAATAGATTTGTAATTATATAATTGTAA